AAGAAAAAAAGTCAGCAAATCATAGAAAACTCTAGTAGCTGAAAAGTATTTAGAAATTAGAAGTTATCCGACACACAGATCATTATAAAATTGTAAGTTATTGCTATCAAATGATGATTATTCGTAATCATTAGGTTGTTCAAATAGTGTTATGAGATGGAAAGGAGATGAATAGATAGGTGAAGCATAACAAAAGGCGAAAAAAATGGGAATAAAGTTACACTAGTGGATTATAGACTGAAAGATTTCGACATATTTCTGTAAAATCGTGGATGATAATGCAAATGGTCAATAAACCAGAAGCAGATCAAATAACAATGACATTTAAAAAACCAAGCTTGATTAGTATATAGAAAGTCCAAATAACTCACTTTTTGAAGAAGAGGAAACCAGAAAACATTTGGTTCATGTTACATTAGTCCGTTATTAATTGTAAGAACACCCATATAAGTTGTCGTGTGGGCCTAAGAAAACGGAGACTGAGGACCACAGCCATCGCATCGAGAATTTTTGCATGGCCTTTCCTTTTCCTTCTATTCTTCATCCCCTTCTTCTGTCCACTTTCCCTAATCGTTAAATCTTCGTTTACCCTTTTCGCCACAATTCTTTATGATAGTGCTATATGACCTTTGAAGTCTGGTACACTTTGTCATAACCATTAAGTATTGCATGGAGTCTGAATAGATGCAGTGTGATGAAAAGGATTATTCAGGTGCAGAGAATTCAGATTATTCACTTACTGTCATTCAAATTATCTAAAAACTTGAATAATTTTTTTTTCATATTAGGTTTGAATTCGATTTTGTACAGTTAAAAATCCCCCAGGCTGCCCCTGCTTCACTACATTGCTATACGGGGCTGTAGTGTCGTATAGTATCTATAGTGTCGTATAGTTTTCCAAAGCAGAATCTGAGGCAAGCAGTGACAAAAAAAAAGATTCGTTAGGATTTCGTAGATTGTAGATAATTTGAATAACCGTTTTTTTTATGTTACGACTCTGAGTATCTGAGCAGAGAGAACGTGATGTAGTTTGACTCACCAAAAGGCAAAAACAAATGCAAAAAAAAACAACGCAACTGGTAACCGTAATGATTTCCTTGTCTCGTAATATCACCTATTATATGTCGATCCGTCTTCAGTAAAATTAAAACGAAAATTCTTCGATAAAACCGCGCTTATCAAATCTGCATCCATTGCCAATATGATCATAGATGTGCAGAAGCTTAATTAATTAACAAACGAGGCTAATAAAAGATTAAATATTATAAGATAGTGCAGAAGCTTAATTAAATAACAGACGAGTCTAATAAAATAGTAAATTGTAAATTAAACGCCCTGAGCCTTTGCTGATGTGCCCAATAACGCACCGTGGCGGTCGGCGCATCAATTGAATTTCGAAAGTGAAAGACATGACGCAACAGATTAGGAGTGATCGGTTTTGTCAGTGCTGAGCGAGGCTGATTGACTCCTGACGGCGGCGGCGCTTACTTTCTTTTCATTTTTTTCCCGCTGATATTGGATGAGGTGTGAGTTCTCGTGAGGCCTTCGCCTAACACACACACACATATGTATGTATATAATATATACATATAATATATATTATATGATATATACTATGTATATACTATATATAACACATATATGCATATATGTAAGTATATAATATACACATATAATATATATTATATGATATATATTATCTATATTATATATAATATGTATATAATATATATAACACACACACTGCAAGTAGAACAATGAATGGAAGTACAGGAAAATACACGGTTATGCATATTCGTGTGTTTTTCTGTACTTCCCTTCATTGTTCTACTTGCAATTTGTTCGACATGAATTCCACACAGGCACACAAGCACACACATAATACACATTCGCACGAAAGGAGGAAGATACGAAGAGCGTGCGAGAGAAAATGCAGGAAGAGCAAAGCAGGGAAAGGGAGAGTGAAAAGGAGGCGGCGCCGGCAGAGAGCGAGCGAGGCATCCACTGCGAGCGAATCTGTCACAATTCCGCGTTGCAGAACGGGGCGTGAGATTGCAAAAGGGGATCACCCTACAGCAGTTCCATGAAAGTGAGGAACCGCAATGATTAACACAAAGGTGTTCTTTGTTTTTTATTTTGTTTTTATTGTCATCGATTGTACAATTAACCGCTTAATCGACTTCTCTTGGCCGAGACTCGGCGCCAGTTTGGGTTCCGCCTCTCACGCTGCGCCCCCCCCCCCCCCCCCCCGCCTCGCGCTCTGCCCGGTAAAGGGCTTCCCGGATTTATATACACGCGCGCACGCACACGCACACACACACACACACACACACACACACACACACACACACACACACACACACACACACACACACACACACACACACACCATACACACACACACGCACACACACACACACACACACACACACACACACACACACACACACACACACACACATACCCATACCCATACAGACATATACACACACATACACACGCACGCACACACACACATGCGCATACGCACACACACACGTACGCCCACACACATATATAGATAGATGTGTGTATATATATATGTATAGGTATGTATATGTATATATGTGTATATTAGGGGGGCAGTTGCCCCTCAAGGTCTGGCTTGCCCCTCACGGGTCACAATTTTCAACTATTTTACAAAATTATATTGTATGTTGATCAACCGTGGCATCCCAATTAATTAGATTTATATTTGGGATGTGTATATAATATATATGTATTTATAGATGTATATATACATATATGTGTGTACACATACACACACATCTATATATATATGTATATATATATATATATATATATATATATATATATATATATATATATATATATATATGGGTGTGTGTGTATATGTATATTTTATATGTAATATACATATACACATATATATACATATATATGTATTTATAGATGTATATATATATACATATATGTGTGTACACATACACACACATCTATATATATGTATATATATATATATATATATATATATATATATATATATATATATATATGGGTGTGTATGTATGTATGTTTTATATGTAATATACCTATACACATATATATATATATATATATATATATATATATATACATACTGCATATTAGCAGTTTGTAATTTCAACATCCAGCACACATGCTTTCATATTCTTAGAACTACATTAATGGGCAGTAAATTTACATTCTTACATACATACATATATTCGCGCAAACACTCACACACACATATATTTGTATGTATGTATATATGTATATGTATATATATATACATGCATAAACAAACACTCATATGAATGTGTTTACTTAATATATATATTTATGTGTGTGTGTGTGTGTGCAGTGGGTCTATGAATGTGTATATCCTGTCCATAATCGCATTCCTTTCCGCTTAAGTGTGCATCGCCCTCTAACCACGGAGACACTCCTTTCTCCCATCATGCTCGCAGTTCCCTCCTGAGCCATAACGTGGTTCTGGGTCGGTTATTTTTCTGGTTCTGTGTTACGCTTCTGCTCTGCCTCTGTAACAGAACACACCCGCTATGTTACGTGCGAGTTCCGTCTTGTGGTCCGCGCATGCTAAAACAGGGAAATGTTCCTGCAAAGATTTTTAACGCTACAACGTCGATCAGTATATTGTCAAGGGTAAAATAACGATCGGATTAATTTTATTGCTTACGTGAATTATTCTGGTCTTCTCCCCCCCCCCCTCCTTGTTTTGAATCGAGCCAGCTGTTGAGTTTTTTTTTTTTCATTCACTATCTGTTAATTGCCGGAAGTCTTACGGCGGCGTCGACCAGCTGGCAAGTGCATGCTAATGACCCCCACACCTGGCAGGCCACGGCAAGGTAGCACTCACGAGGGAACTGTGACACCTTCTGCCGGAGTCAAGGGATGGAATGGGTGTCAGTTGTGCTCTTGCTTACTTGTAACAGCCTTATTGCGACAAACGAGTGAACGACCACGGATACCCTTCGCTTCGTCAATTATTTTCAATTGCTGATTACACATATACATGAGCATGGTATTCAAATCAATACACACGAATATAAAATACAAGCGCAAGAGCAGAGAGAATATTTTTCTGACAGAGATCTAAGCTTATCGTTTGTTTACAAGGGTTTCTTGTTCCCTAGAGGATGTGGCTCCATGTGGCTAGTCCGCCGTCATTGATCTAGTTTTCTCCCGCCTCGCCTTCGTCCCCCTCTCCCTCTGTGTCCACTCGCGTGACAGGTGGCAGTGACAGTTGGCACGAGAAAACGCATCCGATCGCAGCCGCAAACCACGCGTTTCTTTCCTTTAAAAGAGCGAGCAAATTTACACTTCCGAATCCTTTGGCTGCTACACGACCCCGGTGTTCTAGAGCCAACGAGCGGGATGGCATGGCTGACCAACTTCCACCTGCTGAAGATTACATTTCTTACGCCTCGGACGTGAATTACGGGATTAACTGAAATAAGAAATGAGCAATTATTCAAAAATGTCTTCTCTACAGCTTGCCGTTTCGTGTCATGGGGTTTTACATGATCAAGAGCAGACTGTCGCTATTAAAAGCGACCGAGAAAGGGAACACAGCTGTTGCGGACGTAACTGTTCATTCAGATCGCTTACCCTACTCGTGTCCACGTCCTCCACTGGCGGTGAACCTTTGATTATTCACTGAGCTTAATAGTTACAAGAATACTGAAATAAAAACTGTGAGGACACAACTATAAAGGTTTGACTCTAAAGGTGACTTATGTAAAGGACCGTAACGACAGACACCATTTTATTAGAAAAAAGGACTAAGCAGGGAAATAAAGGACTGGAAGAGATTCTTCTGTCGAAAGTTTACGCGGATGAGAAAGGGTCAACATTTGCTATTTCTAGAACTAACAGCTAAGGGTGGCCTCAATGCCGATATTTAACCTTAAGGTATTTTCATAATGAATATATGTAAATGACCGATATAATCTTTCCAGATGGTGTAAAGGATTAGGCGCGCAACACTCCGGGATGGAAATCTTGCTCAAAGTAAGTACCAAACATACATTTAGTGATCTGGGTGTGTGTGTGTGGAGGGGGGGGGGCACGCACATACGGTATGTGCATTTAAACTAAAGAGAATGATTATTAAGCATTTTTCGAGCACATGCTATACTTTCGAGACATAAGGTGTCTTCTGTACGCGTCATAAGAGTTAATACCGGATTAAAGTTAGCCCAAATCCACAATACTTGCACAAAAGATACACCACTAGGTGCACGAGTCAATGCGATTGTCAGTAAATCTGCTGTTTTACATGAAAAAGCGGGTATCTGTGCAATGGTAATTACCATTCACCCTCTACAAGTTTCATATCATACGTTAATGTTGATAACGAAACTATTGCTACAGAGAGAAAAAGATATATACACATACACGCAAGTATTACAGCATGCCGATATATATGTGTCAGAACAAATAATATTATATATATGGCTTCAGACAGCCTATAAATATTATAACAATCGAAATGAAGGTGTCAAGCAAAAAACTCACTCAGTTTATATAAATTTATATTCGCGGGAGTTTTCTCCGCGAGCTCTTTCTCGTGTGTGATCGTGGGGCACGGGGAGGGTAGTTTTTTCAGGCTGTTGCTAGCGAGGATCGTGATAACTAATGCCCACGCGCTCTTGAAGTCACTTTAGTTTAAAGAATCAGGAATTTTTTATTTTGATTTTGAAACCTAATTGTGACGTTATTAAAAGCTTTCTATTTTATTCTATTAATATATTGCATAAGTTGGGAATGTTTTTTTTCCATAACGTTCCTTTTCTGTGTCTGTTAAACTCTGGAATTCTCTGTGGGATTTTCTATTAATTTTTCTTTTCAAAGTTGAGAGTTATATCTGCAGTTTGAATATCCCACAACTTATAAAAATATATATTGACGAATTTTCACATATATCTATATCAAGACATGATTGGTGAGATTAACTAGCTCGTTCTGCGCATGTGCAAGATTAATATTTGAGCTCAACAGAAAAGCCTGGTCCGGAGGTGACTTAAACTTAATCCTGGACGCTGCCATTGCACATGCGCATTAGAGACCTGACTTAAAATTTAATACTGGATTAACTTTTATGGCGCGTACAGAAGACGCCCATATAAATTTATCAGAATATTTACGCACACTCAAAGATGAATATGTAAACTGTCATACATCTGATATGTTTGCACTTTGTCTTTGTTTTATTGCCCATGGGGCTGCTTGATTTAATCCGTAATCATTTCCTGTCTCTGTGTTTTCTGCCTATCGCTCTTGTTCTTATTCCCATTCTCTCTCTCTCTCCCCCTCTCCCTCTCTCCCCCTCTTTTCCTCTCCCTCTCTCCCTCTCTCCCTCTCTCCTTCTCTCCCACTTTGCCTTGTACAAGTATGACCTGAAAATCCTTTGCAGAAATTCTTGCTGCTGCTGGCGGCGGCGACGGTGGTGACGACGGCCTCAGGCGAGGCCCTGGAACCCTTGGCCGAGGCGTTAGTGTCTGAGAATGTGTTCGAGGTCGACTTCGCTAACAAGACCGTCCTTTCACCAGCCGAAGAGCTTATCTTGGCGGCCCAGAAAGCGGGTGAGGGCAGCGCTTGCTTCACAGTAACGTTAATTCTTAGTAAGACAGTCAGTGAGGGTACCTACAGCAACTTTATCTGCTGAGTAAACACGGCCGCGGTCTTTCCAAGATCGCCCTTTTTTCCTTTATCAGAGCATTACTACATAACAAGACCATTTTCGCCTTAATGGCTCCCACTCTCGCCAGGCTACAACCTGACCTTGGAGCGACTGGACGAGGCGGCCAAATCGACGGACGAGGAGGTGCAGGACCTGATGCCGGCGCCCGTGGCAGAGGCCTTCATCGGGCAGCGCCGCAAGGACAACATCGACCTCATTCGGGAACAGATGATCGGCATGATCTTCACCGGGAGGCCGGAGCCGCTAGTGAGTCGGAGATCGAGACGATGCATAGTTCGCTTGGGGCGCAAAATAGCTTTGTTTGGACGAGTTGAAAGCAAAATAATTCAAGTCTCCTTGAGTCTTTCACTAAATAATGATATCTTACCACTGTAATAAGAATGAAAAAAACATTTGGTAGAGACGGAAAAAAAAACATGAGAATGGTTAGAGTTCAAGCAAGACCGCTGAGGCAATTTCGACCAAACTTGCTGTGACTGAATGTTATTTTCCAAAAAAAATCTTCAACCTTTAAGATATATCCCTGATGTCACAAAATAATCACCATTATTACAATTATTAAAATCATCATCGTATTCGTATTATAATGATGACGACCTCCCTCGTCACATCCTGTCATCATACAATCAAACCTCATGCAATGGCGCCGTCACCCCCCCCCCTCCATCCCCACCCTCCTTGGGACCGCGCCCTCACCTCCGCCCCCTTTATCCCCCCGCCCACAGGGACCCAGACCGCGCCGCCCCATCAGGAACTTCCGCCCGCATCCCAAAGGACCTCCTGGCAGGCTGAACGTGAGTGTGAGGTAGTATGAGGTGAGATGAGGTGAGTGGGTCGCGGATGCGTGTGAAAATAAGGAGCAGAAGAGCAGCTGGATGAGTGAGTGTGATGATGAGTGATGAAGTATTTGTCGAGGGCGATGCTTTTTTTCCGCGCTTACAACCTCTTCTCTCACGAGCTCTTTTCTTAGTCCAGCTAACGGACAATATTTTCTCATATATCTCACGTATCTGGCGCTGGCCTGTGAGCCGTTGCCTCCTTAAGTGACTTGTTAAAACGATTTTCATCAACCTCATTCTCACTCAACCTCACGAGGTAGAGTGAGGCATTTGGTGAGTGACAGATGGGCTTAGGTCTCTCCAGGAAAAATCGTTTCAGAAATCTGTAACTTGAGACAACTTTTAAATCTCTTATGTTTAATGTCAATCGTTTTTTTTCCCACTCCTCGTCTTAATTCTCTCTCTCTCTCTCTCTCTCTCTCTCTCTCTCTCTCTCTCTCTCTCTCTCTCTCTCTCTCTCTCTCTCTCTCTCTCTCTCTCTCTAAGGCCTTTCTTTCTCTTTTTAACATGATTCCCTTGATGTGATTATCATTATCATACACACAAAAAGATACCGTTATAGTTACTTCTCACTGTTTCCTCTCTTTCCTTCGTTCTTTGTATCAAAAGGACTCAGGAGCAAAAAGACGAAGAAGTCTCACGGCAATATATCTTTGCAGGTGCGGTACAACCCCCAAGGTGAGGCCAGCATCCAGAACACTCGAAGTAGGTTCATGTCTAATATAGTAGTGTAGTCCTAAGTCCGTAAGTCAGTCAGGACGCGGAAAGGTGAGTGAATCGTGCATGACGGTCTTTCCACACGTGCATGATGGCCAGTTCGTCCTTCCACGGTCTCCGCCACCATGTTGCTTACCAGAGTCTCGGTCTAGGGCTCTCCCTGTCTGTCTTAAGTGGGCATCGGGGTTGTCTGGACGACTCTTGGTCGCTTGGGCGGTCGTGGAGCGTGGGGGGTCGGTGGGAAGGATTTGGCTGTAGAACCCAACAGGTAACTTAATGCTTTGCTGCGGCTGTTCCCCTAATACTGTGAGAGGTAATGTTGTAGAAAGTATCTGCCTGCTGGCATTTTGTATCTAATATGTGTAAATATATTTTCTAACAAGTGCATCCAGTGTTTATAGATTGGGCCTAAATATGTAAAGTATATAGAAGACTTGCTTGTTTAGATCTGTGCTTGTATATATTGCTTTTAAGTTTAAGTTTACTTTAATTTGTACATTCGATTAATAAGTGCATGATATATGTATTTTAACAATTTTTGCGCACTGCACAAGGCAAATTGAAAGTATAAAAACTTGATTTTCTACACCCCACTCTGCATTGCTCGTTAGCATCATGATTCACTGTGAATGACAGAACACAATATTTTATCTTTGTGTTCATAAAATATGAGAAAAACCTATCACATGCAAACGAAATTTATTGAAAGATGAGACAATAGTTTTGAAACCCACCTGGTTTCTGAAAATGAAACCAAAGAGGATATTAGATTGTTGTCTAAAACGTATTTCAGTAAACTTATTTTGTATTTGAGGTTTTCTACCATTGTCCACTCTTTATTAGCAAAAAATAAAACGCAAGCATACAAAGAAAGCCTCTTGTTTTGTGGGCGTTACGATAACATGTCGATGGCTTGGCGTTGGGAGTGCATGTGCAAATGTGTTTACTGAGCTAACCATCTCCTGAGAGCCGCGTCAGTTCTTGGTTCACCTGCGGGTTCGCCTCTCAAGGTCTTCCTTCTGCGGCAAACACTGACGCCGCGCTTCTCAATTCCTCAGAGGTCCCGGCCCCCGACAACATCCTGAAGCCCCTGCCCTTCGTGCCCGGCCCCACCATGATCCAGTTCCCGTCGCACCATCCCAAGAGCCAGCCGGGCCCTCCGCCAGCGCCGTCGCCTCCCCGCCAGCACCCGTCGCGGCAGTCGGGGCACCGCCCGCGCCCTCGCCCGCCCACCGACAGCTTCAAGCCGGTCAAGGAGAGCTTCGGCAACACCGTCGGCCCCGACTTCGGCCCCGTTACCTTCACCGAGTTCGGGGGAAACTTCGGTTTCAATAACAACTTCGAGAACGACTTCAGCTTCAGTTCTCCGAACTCAGGACCTCGACCTCCTCACCAGCGACCTCCCTCAAGGCCTGCCCCACCCCCTCCCTCACGACCTGCCCCGCCCCCTCCTTCACGGCCTGCCCCGCCCCGGCCCTCCCGCCCATCCCCGCCCCGCTCTTCCCCGGCCCGTCCGTCTCGCCCCGCACGCCCCTCCCAAGGCCGCCCACACGGGGCTTCAAATAACTGCCTCAGATACACTGATGACATCTGCCTGGACTCCGCTGAGTATCCCCAGTGAGTGTTTGGGCCCTCGACTTGTAGCCCTCAAGCTGCGCTGGCCGCAGGTTTTGAACGAAAAAGTATTTATGAACCAGCTACCTTAAGAAAAAAATTCAGTTTTCCCCTTATGGCCATACGAAAAAAAGTTCCAATAAGTAATAATGAATAATACTTTCCTTTCTGTCAAGATTCGAGATTTTCCTGTCCTTGTTTTCACTCGAATGTTCTCTCCTTCCAGCGAGGCCATCTTGTCCTCGCTGATCCGTGACCCCTCGCGAGCGGACACCATGATGGCCGAAGTCAGGAGCCAGAGCGCGGATGAACTCGTGGACGGCGTCTCGTCTGTCCAGGAGGCGAGATACGACTTCCAGCACTACTTCGGCAACAGGTATGCTCGGTCAACGCATTTGGACACACATCATTGGACATTCTGGTACGTTCATGTTTATAGCTTAAGGGATATATGACCTAAGACGTTCTAATGTGTACCCTTCCAGGCGAGCGGGGACGGAGAACCACGCCCACAGGGACTTCGCGCAGGACGGAGGCTACCTGTGTCCTTCTGAGGTGAAGTATGCGCGTCCCAAGCGCGCCAGGAACTCCAAGGGGCAGTGGAAATACATTGTCAACGTAGATAAATACTCCCAGACCATCCGTATGGAGAAGTGCATGTACGCTCTCGTTCTTTCGTTTGCTCTTTTAAGACGTAACTATTTTGTAATTCTAACGAAGTATGGGACATATGTACCGACAACAATGCGATCTATAACACAACAGGATTTTATCAGACCTTTAAAGCATATTTCCTTCATAATCTGTTCTCCCACTGCATTCTCAGGAAACCCGGAGGCGCCTGTAGCTACGTGTCCCACCACTACCGCGCCACGTGCAACCAGGTCTACAACTACCACCGACTCCTCTCCTGGGAGGACGGCCGCGGCCTCCATATGGATATCTTCAAGGTAAAAGTCACCCAAGGCAGTACTGATCTGGTTATTGGCATGCGAATAGCCTATACGAGAATCTGTAAGCAAGAGACAACAGAAAGATAGATAGACTGGCAAAACAACAGTGAGAGAGAGAGAGAGAGAGAGAAATAGTAAGAGAACAATAGAAAGAGATAAGCAAACGGAACAGCAAGAAAGATGAAAGAGAACTCACAAAGCCAAGAAGAGAGACAGATCCTACTCCCCTTTTCCCCTGCAGGTCCCCAGCTGCTGTTCCTGTCACATCCAGGGCTACGCGTACGTTTTCCCTCCGCTCAACCGCCAGGACTCGGCCGGGTCTGAGCAGATCACCACGGCGGTGCTTCCCCCAAGGGACGAGGCGAGCGAGGATCCGGCGCAAGCCTACGAGCCAGAAGAAGGTGATAAAGTCCTCAGACTTTTTGATTATATACTATTTTTGCTAGTTTTTGGCCGATTTGTACAATACTTTTGCTGATTTATACACTATTGTTTGCCGATTAATACACAGCCTTTGCTGATGTATACACTACATTTCATAATCTATACACTAATTTTGCAGGTGATTAAAATTTATAGCAAAAGTTCAAACAAAAATCCACTTGAAATTCACACGAGAGGTCTATTTTTGATTTTTTTATATTTTTTGTCCCTTTTGTCCTTTATTATTATTATTACTATTAATAAAATCACTATTATCATTATTATTATTAAAATTATCATCATCATCACCATTACCATCACCATCACCATCACCATTATCGTTATTATTATTATTATTATTATTATTATTATTATTATTATTATTATTTGTCCAGATTACCAACCCATGGACTCTTCCGTGGAGAACAACAGGCAGCTCCGACGACCAGGACCAGGAGGTTTGAGGCCGCGGAGACCCAGTGTCAGTAGGTAAGTAAAGCCAGGCAGTTATACAGTGATAATCTGATGAAGCAGTAAATGTGAAAAGGCCTTCGGCATATTCGTGCGTTTCTCTGTACTTCCCTTCGTTGTTCTTGCAATTTGTTTGACATGAATTCCACACGTGATAATCATGAAAACAAGGAGGAGGAGAATTGTAATGTAAATGTTACTGTCGTTGCTGATGGTGATAATGATAGTGAAGATGATGAAATAGTAATGTGGAGAAACAATATATTGCCTTTACACCTACATTTGTACATGCCCTTAATCCCCGTTAGATTGTATTCCCTTAATATTCGCGTCCAAAGGTGTTCTCAAGCCAATTCCCTTTATTAGATTTGTTAATTTAAGGTTTCATCTATAACAGAAATATCGATATCTTCACTTCAGTGCACTACAAACATGGGATAAAGTGCATTAACGTGAATATATTGATGCTCATGGTATATATGAAAGGTTTAAATTGACAAAACATTGTCCAGAGAAAACCTCTGGACGCACAAACATTCAAACATAAACGCCCCTTCTGCGTCACCCTCACATCTAAACTCTCCTTCTGCGCCGCCTTCAAGTTTAAACTCCCCTTCTGCGCCACCTTCAAGTGCAAACTCCCCTTCTGCTCCCACAGGCCCGAGGAGCACCAAAGCTTCGGCAGCAGGACCCCCAGCGACGAGTCCAGCCGGCGGCGAGGGCCCGTGGACTCCAGAA